CACCGCCAAGTCGCGAACAGAAAGCCAAATCCGCTCCAAAGGCTCCTGCCAAGCGTCGTCGTCGACGTGACCAATCCCGATCCCGCTCCTCGAGCCCACTGTCACTCTGGACCTCTGAAGACAAACAGAAACTACGCACTCTGAAGGCTGACGAGAAATCTCGATTTTCATGGAAGGTGATCTCGACCAAGATGGGCAAGTCTGAAGAAGATGTTCGCTCTATGTGGAATAAGATCAAAGACCAACTTGGCTGACCAATAACATATGCGAACCAAAAGAAAAAGGTACGTTGCGGTACGGTATTCCTGTTTCACCAACCAGTTGGCCTTCCTTTTGGGAATTTTCTTCTTGTTAATCTTCAGAACCATGGGCGCTGTTGTCCCATTGAATTCTGACACGTCGTATCACACAACCCGCCAGCCATTTATTATGTCTCTCCGCGTTCACCTGGACCGCTATTGCCAACAGCGAGCTATGTCCCACGAGAGGATCTCACCTACACGACGCTCACGCTCTCCAACCAGGACGTCATCTTCCGCTATGGGCTCTACGTCATTTCAGCACCCACCCAACCGGTCTTCGCCTCCGACACCTCACCGACCGGTTATTTTCCAGTTGGACCTGAAGCCGATGCAACAACTGGCCGTACGCAACCCTTATTACAACATCTTGAACCCCAAAGTCGCGGGCAACCTTCCTACGGCCACCTATGACAGCTTGTTCCAGACGTTCAAGGTGATCTACCCGGACTATGCTCGCAGTCATTTCGTTTCAGACCTCAAAACCGTCGTCACCGACACGTTGCTACAACGCTGGTCCATACACCTACCAGCGTCGGAGTTCTACATGATGATTGACACCGATCAAGGAGCTCAGATGCTTGACGACCTTCCTCATTCTCTTCTGGATGTTTTGAATTGGTTCTACCCGAGATGGAAAACTCATCAACATCTCGATGCCTTCACGACCCGTGAGTGTTCACCATTGCTGCTGACACCCCATCCAGATGCACAAGACACCGGCTTTGCTGTACATGTTCAAGTGATTCCACGTGGGCATCCATTTGTCACGGCCACCCGATACACTAAAGCCGCTGAGTGATTAGCTGTCTTGATGGATCTTGGCACGGCTCATGTCTATGAGGAAAAAGACCAACATTCGTTATGATGTCCACCACCCCGGTTCTGATTTTCCCTTGTGTCATCCTTTTCTCGTTTTCCATTGGGTGATATTCGTTATTTATTCCTTCATCATTGACCTTCCCCACGACCTTTTGGCTTCAGTTCAGTTTTTCTCGTTTTCATACTCTTGTGATCGTACATGATGACCTCCAACACGGATCATCCTGCTCGATTGGTCTCGCACCGTTCACCACCTACATCCATACATGGCCTTGCCTCACACTTGCCACCTGATGATCCTACCTCGGCATCCTATATTCCTCGTGCAGCGAGAATGATTCCGACCTCTACCACTGTCCACTCCGTCTTCATCAAGAAGCTGAGCTATCCTTTGTCTAACCGTTCAGATGAACTTTGGATCGTGGAAAGGACACTTGATGGTCTTGAAACGTGGAAACCAGTGGAAACATTCCTGGAGAACATGCACCTCACCAACGACCAGGCGACCTTGCGTACTACAGCTAACCATTGGCGCAGATACTATGACGTACCAATTCAATCATCATCCTCCTCCCCTACGGCAACTACTGTTCCCGTTTTACCACACCCTGAACACTCAAACGTCTCTGTCTCACAGCCGTACGAAGCGATACCGGACCACCTCCATATTTTACAGTCATGCTGGGGACGCTCTGCCCACCACCATTCTCAAGGAACTACTACCTCTTTATATTGGCCACCTTGGCGGTCTACACCACCTTCTTCCCCACCGGCAACACTACAACGTACTGTACATCTCACTCGCCCCGCTGTCCCTCCTCAACAAGTACATGGTCCGCTGGATGCGAATGATATTGACCCGATGGATACGTCGGACTCAAGTGTGTAATATACCACATTATTTGTCGGCAGGAAAAAGACCTGTGATTCATCGTCTCTTTGTGTGACCATTTACTAGGTACACCGTTTCTCGTTCATTTCTAACACTTTGAGCTGGTTTCTGTGGCTATTCTAACCCATTTTGCAGCTTGGGCTTTTCGCTTTATCCTCGATACTTCACATTCGACGCAATGGCTCGTTCTTCTCGACCCAATCCATATCGCGCTACATCCACGATTGAGACACCGCTTGGTACACGAACCGTTGGATGGATTGCTGGACATCGAGGCCTTCCTGGTGATGCGAACCCTCCTCCAAACAGACCTGTCCTTATCTTGGTTGACTTCTCTCCCCTACAGGCATTGACTCACCGAAGCGAACCTGACCGTGAACACTACATCGCTCTGGTGAACTCCAATTTTAGACATGTCAGTGGCTTTGAACTTGCAGCTTTGTTTACCTGGTCACGTCAGATGGAACCAGTTGAATCCGGCCTCATCCCAATTGCCGAACTTCGCTTCTGTATCTCCAAAAGATTGAGGTCCCAATGGGACATCCAAATTGATCCCTCGAATCTGGAGTTTCGCTTTTGCGACCTGGACGGTGAGACATTCCAAGTTTCCAATGATATGACGGTCTTGCAGCTTTTGGAGGCATACCGACCTGAATGGCGACTTCGGCAGTACAACTCCCGTGAATCTTCTTTCCTCATTCCGGGTACCAGACAGCCTTTCGTACTACGTTTGCAATGCTACAAAATTAGCTCCGGTGTGATCCTGCCCTGATACGCTAGCCGGCCAAAAAAGACCATGCTTCAGGGTTTTCCATTCTTCCTTGACACCCCACTAACACAAAGGATTCTTCGATTTCTATTTTATTCGACTTTGAGCTGTGGCTTCTCCGTCGCAATTGACCCACTTGATTGAGGACTGGATTTCACTTTTATCATTTTGTGAATATTATCATTTTCGGGATTGGCTTTTTTCTGCAACTCTTGATGCTTCAGCCGTTGTTGCACTATTTCTCGCATTTGTGACAGTTTCACCCATGGAACACAAACGAGACGCGACCGTGGCGGGCTTGTCTTGGCCTTCGAATCCTCCCCGTGGACTCGCTCCTACCAATCCAGTTCAAGTACCAGACGCCCAGACTTCTGCACTATGTCACTCAGGAGCTCCCGACACTACGACCAACCCTACGTCGGCCCCTTTGGTCACTGACAGTACGGCACCTGCCACGGATACTATGGCCCATCCTGATACATATTCAGGACCAGCACCTCCTTGCGTCCCGTTTCCAATGGAGTCAAGTTCTGCACACAACTACCTCCATCGTGCTCAATTCTCTTCTCGCGTGGTTCACCAGATCCAATTCAAGGTCATTACCCACTCCAACAACACCAGGGAGCTTTTCATTGAAGAAATCCCCTTGCTAGGGCATTCCCGCTGTCGTGACCCTGAACACTACTTTTATGGTCTTTCGGGCAATTGGGAGTGGTCCCTACGTACAGCGGACTATTGGCGACATCATTTCGAGATTCCCCTTGTACACGGACACCATCCTTTTCACAATGTGCCCATTGAGACGACATCTCCAGCAGAGGAACCGAGCCTTACCACCCGGATCCACGAATTAGCCACGGATCTTTCTGAGGCCTTGAAGGCTGCTACGGCATCTGGGGAATTCAATGAGACGTGGGCGATGGTTGAACGCATGAGCTTCCACGATGCTTTCGAAGTCCTTCTACAAGCTCCGAATTCTTCTTCTTCTGACTGAAGTGATCGCCCGTTTGTACATTTGGTTTTTACAGGTTCACTCTCACTGGTGTATTGCCGATTCAGCCAGCGAAGTTCTTCCAAAAAATCCAACCTCGCTATATGCGAGGTGTGTGTGTGTGTACCATCTGAACAGATGTAAAACTTCTGATTGGTTTTCACTAGTTTGCAGGGGGGTGCAGAGCACAGTGGAGACTGCACCCAACGAAGCTATCCACTTGTGCTGGAAGCAGAGTCTGATCAACTCTGTGTACCTGCAAAATTTGGTTTCAACTGTTGATCAAGCTGTTACACTGCGTTGTTTCGAATCTACACGGTTGCCACAATCTGTATTGCATGCATCAGAACCTTCCTCAGATTTTCGCCGAAACCATATCGCCGACAGTATTATGATTTTTTGACATATTTTCGCCGAGATCATGTCGCCGACGAACTTTGGGTTATTTTGGGAAACAATCGCCGAAACATTATTGTGGATTCTCAACATGCTGGTTAAAACTCTATGGATTCTGGTTTTGACTTCGTTTGACAACATTGGATGCCCTACATCGTTTTCGAGAAGTACCTCATGTGGCTCCTTTACTAATCTAACGATCTAGGCTGGTTTGCATGTTTCAGGATTCAGTTCCTGCCGGATCATATAATGATCCATTCTTGTCTAGTGTGTGTATGTGTGTGTGTGTGTCATATTCTGTAATTAAGTACTGACCATTGCAGTCTGCAACCCTGGCCTATACGCATTCTTTGTACACACAGGATTCAAAAAAAATGACTTCGTCAAATCCAAAGAACCGTGGGCATTGGGCTGCGTTGTGCTCCTCACAGTCCGGATCTTTCTTCTCAAGATCCTCCATGTAGTTGATATAGTCCTTGACGGAAGTTTCATACATGGGAGCTTCCCATAGGCTTTCTTGGCCTAAGCGCAGGAGCACAAGCCAGTGATCAGCATCTCTCATCACAGACCTTCTACAGTATGCATTCTAAAATATACTATATAAATATCATTAGATATCCGTATGCTACTGCAAAAAATTAAACGTCGACTGATTATGGAGGTATATATTGCACCAAACAAACTCGAAAGTAAACGAACAGAAAGTCAAGGCATTGTGAGAACAGGGAGACCTGTGAAATGCATCCAGGTAACGTGTAAAGACAGGACCAAGCCATTTCAACAGCTGCCGTTTGTCGCCCAAATGATCTTTAAACCACTGAAGATTCCAAACTCCACGTGCCCTCCATTCACTTTGCGCATCCTAAGGCCACAAATCAAAATCAATGGTTGCTCTAAAGTTCAAGATTTCTTAGGATTTCTGGGTCGTCAGCGCTACACTGTTACACAATGCCAACAAAAACTGCACCGGCGCTGCACAAACCAAATAATGTTTGTGAGATCTCATGATAGAACATTTAACACCTGCACTTGGTAATTTACAGCATCAGATCTGCATCTCAGCATCGGTAATGATGAAAGGTTCCTCTGCAGTTCCAACATCGAAATTGGTCAGCTCGCTGGAGGAACGCCGCGCCACCGACCTAGCGTTCTCCAAGAGAACCTGGGATTCCACACGGGATTCCACAGGGCTCCAACTGCAAATGATGCTTCCAACATCCTTTCTTTTGCAAACACTTCCAGTAACCAGTATGACACCAGTGACACTAGTATGTTCATAACCATCCAAAGCAACTAAATTACAATCAAAATCAATCACACTACTGCAACATGCTGAAACACTTTTTTTCTGTGCAAATGATCTTAGTGGAACTGCCCGAAGAACCTCAGAGGCCAAGTCACAGGCGTTCGTTCTTTGGCGGTTTGAGCGCAGAAATTCAAATAGTACAGCGGCGGAGATGGTAACCTTCAGAAGGGGTGAGCAGTGAACAGCAGTGGACAGCAGTGAACATTCTCCAAAGTTTTCACAAGTTTCCGAAGCTTGTTGTCTTGCCATGTATCGCCTATACCTTGCACTTGACTCACTTGACACAGCAGTGGAATATGCCAAGATATGCCAAGTGACTCTACCCGGGCCAGCCACCAGGGATGATGAAAATCGTTCGGTCCGATCTCCGGCACAGCTGCAGGTGGCAGTCTATCACACTGGTCTTTGGCACACAGAACGCCATCGGCTTCCAGGATATGAACTTCAAAAATCAGCTCACAGTCAGGTGGTACAATGCCTGGGCTACAAGCGGACAATTTGGACAATGCTTCTCCTTTAACCTCCTTTAACCAACAGTGACATTCTGTCTCGACAGCAAAAGCAGGCTTGGAAAGTGCCGAGATGCGAGGAATGCCTTTCTTTCCATAGGCCAGCTCTGATGGAATCCGGATCTCCGCTATGGAGCCCAAAGTGAGCTCCTCACGTTGAAATTCAAGCCCATCCAACTGACAGCTGCGATCGGCTGTGATATCTGAGATGTTTCAATATGTTTCAATTGTTTTCAACGTTCATCTTTCAACCGGTAATTCCTATGGAATGCCTGTGGATTTCGTGGAAATTATACGTATAAATTTCCTCGATTTCCCATCCCCATATCTATCATATCTTCCCCATATCTTCCCCCTGTCCTGCATGGCCAAGTCCATACCTGGGATCACCGCCCCTTTCGAAAGCACCATCGCCATGGGATCTCCGCCTTTGCCCTCGGTGCTTTCGAAGATGCAACCGTTGGGCAGTCGCCCCACCAGGTGAGCCGTCACAGACCTTGGCCACCGGATCTATTGGATATGTGTGGCGTACGCACATATATAGATAATATATATATATTAATATTTATAATGATCTATATATGTATGTGCATACAACCTGTAACATTATATTACTATTATATTTTTTTATATGATATGCGTGTATATATATATATACAATTATATACGTGAAAAAGAATTGAATGGATATCGACGTATGTAGGTGTGACCTGTATGGTGTAAGGTATATCGTGTCAGTTGTAAGACATCATAATTCACCTGCATCATGTCAAAGGGATGCATTCATATCCTCACGTACCATCACATCTAAATCAAATCTATGAAATTCCTTCAACATCATCCAGTTGCCTTTGTGCAAAGTGTTTTCCATCTCCGTCTCGAAGAAGGGACCTCAGTCATGACGACAGCACTGAAGCAGCAATCGATTCGAATCGATTCCATCATCAAATGTCAGCCAATGTTAGCTGCATTCGAGCCACACATGCACACCGGACGGCAATGTCCAAGCTCTCACCGGCTCTGGCGCTGAAGCACGTGATACACGCAGCGCCATCAAAGAGGTCGAGGTCAACAGGACAAGCTAAGCTTGAAAGGATTTTGCAAGATTCATCTGTTTACAAAACCGAAGCCCTTTCTTTCAAATTGTGTGCGCGCCTGTGTCCAAGTCTAAGGATGTCTGTGACCAAAGCTTCAGGTTTGCTTCAGCCAAAAGGCCTAATGAAACTACCACGGGCTACCACGGGATCCTGTCGGCATACCACGGGATTTCAACAGATGAGTAGAAAGAAATGAGACAAGATTCTGGTCACTTCTCATCCCTTGTCTTGGGACTTGGAGACATTAGCATTGAACAAAACGGCTGCACAGAAACGATTCGAAGCCAAGCCAGATTAAATCATTAAATCAGGTTCTAGTACTTCTAGTACTGATCGATACTGATCGGTACTGATCATTTGTGAACTAGCCCAGTTTATCAGCTTATACCCAGCATGGCATGCTACAGCTGCTAGGGCCCACGGCGTAAGGCATGCTGTGTCTATTAAGTCACTATTGAGTGACTATTGAGTGACTTAATTGTGAATCCATTGTCAATTGTGAATCCATGATCCACCCAGGATCAGCATCTTCTCTCTTCCACTTGGATGCGTGCCATGCCGCGCCCCCATGGACAGTCGGCAGGCAGACTGTACAAATTGGATGCCGGGGAGTTGATCCAGAGGCCATGCAGGTTCTTAACATTCAAAATGGTCACGAAATAGTCACGAAATGGTCACAAAATGGACATGGTGGAGGTGCTCAAAACAACTGACTCATGAGGGGTTGCGCTTACACATGCTTACACATGCTTACACATGCTTACACAGCGCATGCCGTAAAATGTGGATGCAACCAACTAGCATAAAGTGTAGCAGAAAGCACGGTCCGAGATGGACTAGGGCTTACAACATCTTACAACTATTTCATCACCTACACCGTAGTCAAAGTAGACTGCCAAAATCTGGTGTGGGGATGACCATGCAAAAAAAACTATCTCCTCATCATGCAAGCCCATGACCACCGATGGGATTCACAGATTTTGGTAAAGCGATGGAGAGAAAACGGGAGCCCAATTCCAACAAAGTCCTTCCTTCATCCCATTCAGCCGACTGCACGGCCCCCGATCAGTTCAGGTGATACGTCCTGCCTGCTGAACGCAATGAAAATGGTGTCTTTCTGCTGCAATGTTTGTTCCATATTGTTCCCTTTGAGCGGTTCTTATGGTTCTTCTTTGTGATTGTGCCTGCCTTGTGCCTGGCCCAAAAAGACACACTGTCAGTCACTATCACAAAATCCGAAGTGCGTCCCATTTCTGGTTTGCAACTCGCATGACTCACCATGACTCACCCGCAGTGCCTTGATGCCTTGATGACTTGATGACGGAATATGACGGATCTCCGTGGGACACACAAAGCTTGTGGGCAACGCCGCAACGCCTTCTGAAATGCCAACGATGTTGGTTTGACCAAAGATGGCAGAGCCAGGGCCACAGCTCACAGCTGCTACAGATTGCTACAGTACTCTGTTCTACAAACATTTGAAGGTTCCGGACTGTATCAACACATAACACATCATACCACATCATAACACATCATAACACTTAACTGTGTTAGAACAAGCTTCCAGATTGAGAATCAATTCACCAAGAATAAAGCAGCTGCCCAGGCTGGGAATAATTGCCCGTGCACGATGTCTGCGCATGTTTCAGCAACCGGGTGATGGACTGTGGGCCCGTCTTGCAGCACCCCCTCCCTAAGCGTTCACTCAACACGTCAGTTGACTCCCGAGCTTTCTCCCAGCGGGAAGCATGAGACATCATGAGACGCACCAAACATCACCAGACTCAAGGACCCTCCAGCGAACATAGCGAACTGCATAGTGGAGAGCCTATCCTGGTGGACGTGACCGTTGCTCGATGGAATGAAATTCAGGGCATATTCAAGGCTCCATAAGGCTCCCTTGCATCTGGACATAACATGACATAACATGACATAACATGACATAACTAAGTCCAGGAAGTCAATCTGATTCAAATCAAAGCGCTGCTGCTTCGCAGTCTCAGCACTTGACGGCAAGCGTTGAGCAATGGGCAGTGACAACATTTGACTCCACATTTGACATCATTTTGCGCAGCGTTCCTTCAGGAATATCCATGGAACTCTAGGGAAATGACGTGAAAGGGCGGTGCAAGATCCAACAACCGAAGCACTACTCAACTTTGCCAAGTCATGTGACGGAAATTAAAAAGGGGGCCCAGGCAAACATCACAGCGGATGCGAAGCGCCTCACAACGGTTGCTGAACGTCCATCGGGGTATTCCAGTCTGTTGCGGTGTGTTTCCGAATCATCCAATGTGTTCAAGAAGCTCCAGATATTTCAACAATTGGATGTGCTGCAAATACCGTTGGATTTGTTGAGGTCTGTTGAGGTCAGCCAAACATTTCACAGCAGGCACCTGGAAAACAATCTTCTTATCATGAGGCTGGTTCCTTGGAGGTTCTCAACGAAACACAGATTTACCGAAGGTGCAAGAAAATCATAGAAAATCTCTGCTCAGTCAAATGCTAGGGCTTAGTTTAACGTTCTTCAAACTATGGGTGTTTGCTTTAGCTCCTGCATACTCCTACTACATCACCTTAAGGGCTGAATCCTCCCAGTGCGAAACACCCAGGAAATTTGCCCAAAATTGGCAAACTGAATCGCACTGAGCTATACTGAGCTGCCCACCAACTGTTTGGGATTTAAACTCCAAATCCTCTCGTCAGCATCGAAATGCACGAGGACCTGTCAAAGCTTGGAGGGCAGCAGTCACATCTTGGGACATGGTGAGAAGAACTGAACTTGGAGTAGGAGGTCTCTAACAGGTTTTGATCCGGATTCCTGCCAATTTTCTTCCACTGGATTGTGGAATTACGCGGAAAGCTTCTCAACTCTTTGTTTCCGGACATGTAGCTCTGAAAAGTAGTGATGGCGTGCTGCACATTTCAGATTTCAGATGGAACATTCACGAAGAGACTCTCATAACCCCACTGTTCAGCACTTTGCAGCACCTTGCCGTTTGAGTGACCGGGTCCAATCTTAGCACAAGCTGCTTCACCACTGAGTCAACTGTTTCTGTAGGCTTCTTTTGCACAAGAAGTCAGGACTAGGAATCTAAGACTGTCTGATTCTTACGCAGTCCTTAGCCAAAGTGGCTGTATGAGACTCATTTCCAAAGTACCGTCAAAGTACCTTCCATATCCTTCCACTTACGCATTCACATCGATTCACATTGATTCATGTCACTCGACCTGGATCCTTGGGATCCATTGGGATCCCCGCAACGGTTCCTTCCTCTTTTTCCGCTATGGCCAGGCGCGTCTCCTCAAATGACTTGCCACATCTGGAACTGTTCTGGCGAAGTGAGAAACCATAGCAACCATAGTAACAAAGCGGACCTAGAGAAACCTTCGGCTCACATTTCACATAGACACTCTGACCATCTCTGATCTGAATGGTGCTTGGAAGATTTTTGAAGTCATGTGAAGTCATCCCCTGGAACAATATGAAAAATTGTGCACCAGAAGCCAAGAGACGTCGAAGGAGCGAGCTCCAAAAATTTGCCCGAGACTTCGAACCTTGGCACAGCATGGCACAGAGTCGGCCAAGGATCGGTGAAAATGACGTGAAAATGATGTGAAAATGATGTTTCACAAACTTTTGCTCCGTGAATCTGCAGCCAGCCCACTCGATCACCGCGAGTAAAACCATGGATTTTCTCCTGCATCGCCTCGGTGTAGACCTGCGGAGGTTGGTTCAACGGCATCCCCACAATCTTGTTTGGATATGATACTAATGATACTCGTGAAAAATACATTATATAAATATATTCTATATAAATATATTCTATGCAAATATCATATAATAAATATTATATACTTTAAATATTATATTATATTGCAACATTCTATCTCTGTGTGATAATTAATTACATGATGAGTATATGATAAGCATAAGATAAAGTTTGATAAAGCATATGCTCTTTTTGAATGTCTGTCTGAGATATCTTATGATAATAGGATGTGATATGACGTAATAAGTCAAGGATAGTCAGGGCATGTCAGGCCATCTCCCGGGCCTCTGTCTTGCAAATGAGGCTGGGCCAAATGCTCCACTCACCGATGCAGTTGTCGAAGCCTGGCCAGGGCGCCAGGGCGCCAGGGTACGGAGCATTTCTCAACTCACAAAAGTGTTTGATACACATCGTGTAACAAAGCTAAGCAAAGGTCTGACATCGTTTGCTCTGCTCTTCCGCTCATTTCTTTTCAAACTTTTCAGTCTTCACAGTTCAGTTCGGTGGTCCAGGCGTACAGTACCACCTAAATTATCTAAACCTTTGGAAATAAGCTTCCAAGGGCCAAGTTGGAAACTGTTTGACCCTCCAAAAGCTGGGATCAGCATGGATCAACTTACAACTTATAACTTATAACATCTTAATACATCTTATACCTTATAACTTATATAACTTATATAAATTATATAACTTATATAACTTATAACTTATTATAACTATGATTTCCACCAGTGGAGGCCGCCATGTCCACTGGGGCCATGACGCACCGCAATCTTTCCTTTCACTACGGATGGCCCGATCACCTGCAGCACATGACAGCATGAAACAGAACAACGACAACGTTGCAACGCAGTACCACGCCCAATCGCTCTGCACCAATAACCAATGAGCAGCCCGAAACTGACAAGGGAAAGTGAGGGGAGACTGAGGGGAAAGTGATGAAAATCTAAACATGGATGAAACATAAAACAAGGAAAATGCATTTCTCATCCGCGAAACGCTGCCCTCTGCTCTCGTAAGACTGGGAATATCTGGGAATGCGACGGTGCCCTCATCACCGAGCCACAACTCCTTCAATGGCACTGGCTGTGGGCGGTTGGATGCGCTTGGTGTATGTGGCGACTGAAATCTTGCGGCTGCACTTTTTCGGTCGACTCGAACTCAGGTATGGCTTAGCCAGGGGCTGACTGCAAAGTCTGATCTTTGACACTGAAACCAAAATGCACAAAAAGAACAGAATTTCACCAAATATGTCCACTTTCAGATGAATGAAAAGTGGCCTAAGAATGCTGTCTTTCATTATCTTTCATCAGGCGCTAGCATTGACCTGGCTTTGCCACGATCCAACCTAGAACCCGGCTCACTAAGTGTCCACCTGCTTCCCGCTTGAGGAAACAAAAAGGATCAAGTTGGGCTCACATCGACAGCCAGACTAATCAGTATCATTGCAGGATGCTGATCTGTCGCCAAGACTGTGTTGTGGACCTATCCAGCTCAGGCGCCACTTCAGTGCGTTTGGATTCAAACCTTGTGTTCAAGTTTTGCCGCAAAAATCGCAAAATAGTGCATGGCAGGCTATATTTGGGGCGACGCAAAGGCGAGAAAATAAGGCAAATTGTGCTACAGGGATGAGAGGCGTCATGGGCAAAATAAATCAAAATAAGCAAGCACGTGAAACCGTGGCTTGCCTAGAAAAGGTCAAATTACGACGCACTTCGCCAAATCGACCAACGACTACATGTCCCTAATGGCATTCCGAATGCGGGGCTTGGCAAGGTCATGGTCAGCCGACGGTCAGCCCCTGGCCTGTCGTCCCTGCTGGCCCTAGACTACGAAAGGCAACTGCCTCTTCTGCACCTCAAAGACTTTGAGAAAAGGGGGTGGTTGTGGTGGGATGTGGAACCCTCTTTTGTTTCAATGCGCAATATCAGCGTGCTGTCTCTGCATCTGCTAACCCACCCGCCAGCTTGCATGGATTTCCATACCGTCTGCCACGACACTTGCTTCTTGAAACGGATGATGGACGTCTTGATGGGCATCTTTGGAGGTTCCGCAGCAGCTCCCAATGGCATCCTCAAGCCGTTTGTCCAAGGGAATGTTTCCACAAGTCCTACATTTTCAAATGAACATTATAAATATATATATATATATACATGTATGTGTTTTTTCACATTGATGTCCGAATATCCTAGAAGTCATCCATGTGCTTACTGGCTACCAGGGAGGAACTGCTGGCCTTTTGTGTTGTACTTAGCAATTGTAACTGCCTGCAAAAGCCATGACATGCCGTGACGGCCATAGCAAGCAGCAGTCCCTGTTTGCAGGGGAAGCTGGCACAACCAGCTGTCCCATGAATCACTTTCCAATTCGCACTGAAATGTTTCTCGTTGACCTTTACGCATGCGTTGCTCAGGCAAAACATATGAACATCGTTTGATGATAAGTTTGAGGACCATATTGTACTGGCAAGCTGCCAGCAGCTGAAAACAAAGCAATCCGCTACAAAACGCCCAGCCATGTGGGCTGCTACGGCTGTTACAGCTCCGGTGACAGCTGTTACTCTCAGTTACAGCCTGGCACCATTGCAGCCTCGTTGCAGGCTTGAGCTCCTCACCGGTGCCAAACCACTCGGCCGCCAGCGCGGTGCAGGCCGGGAGTCGCTGCTGAAGGAACGGCAGGGCAAACGCGTCACGGAAGATCTGGTGATGCCGTTGGCGGCAAAATACCTCGATGAGCGATGACCCAAGGCCAATGCATCGTGTGTGTGTGTGATTTAAAAAAACAGGTGCTAATGCATGTGCAAAATACATACATACATATATGATCATACATATTACATACCGTATAATTATATATAATATGTGTGTGATAAGATCTATTTGATTTATACATACATATAATGTGTGTGTGCATGTGCGTGTGCATATCATATGTACAGTACTTTATGTGCGTTTGTGTACTTGCCGATGATCTCAGCAATGTATTCAGGGATATTATGATTGTGAATGATTACGAAGTATTCTTGTGTAATTATCTTCCCATCTGTATCTTCCAAACCACCAGTGGATAGATTCAAATCGATTCAGATTCAAATGCCGATCCCGGTCAAGTGCAGGCAACCCAGCGATCCTGCAAACCGGATGTGGCAAAATCAGTGATAAGTAGGTAGAAGGCGAATATAAACACATTGCGAACAATCTAAAACCTGTGAACTATGACTCGGACGGAAACTCGATGTCTCGCAGCTTCTCAAAAATACATCGCTGTTGGAAGCTGTGATTTAAAACCTGCATGTTATAGCTGAATAAGGTGGTAAGCAATGGCAAGCATATTATCTAAGCATCACTCTCTTGACATCGCCAAGGTGCTCCAACAAATCGCGACGTACTGCTTCTGATTGAGGTGGATGACACATGCCAGAGTGGATTGGAGCGATTTGATACGCTCGCACACCATCACGTTTCTTGGGCGGTGCCAGGAACGATCGCGACATGATGCCAGACGCCTCACTACTGGGTGTGGAGTAGCCATTCGCTCGGTTGAAGGCTTCAAACTTCGATGCCTGGGCGATTCACAATGAAAGCGCTGAGAATGTGGATGCATATGGGCAACCATGGCAGGCCGAAGACCTTGCTTCCGCATGGAAAGCTGGATGAAAAAATATGGCACCCTTATTCTCTCGTATCTATAAATTAGCTATAAATGATTTAATTCGAGTACATGTTTGAATGGCGTTGAATATCATGAGACTGAAATATACTGAAACACTTTGTCAAGAGACTGGCATGGCACTATGGCACTCTGCCTATTGAAGGCCTTCCCAGGGTCTGGGCGTCGAAGCCAAGGGCGACATCCTTCCTGGACGTCTTAGCGGCACCACAGGCTGCCTCTATGTTGAGCCGAAAATCGCCCCACGTGACATATGTGACATGATCAACATGGTATAGGAATGTAGAGGGATGTAGAGGGTGTAGAGGGTGTAGAGGGTGTGATCTTAATCTTGAACCTTCTCTGTTGTGCTCCTTGGATCATTTGGATCTCCTTGGTCTTTGTCAAGTTCTCTTGGTCGTTTCCTTCACTATCTTTCAGCTATGTTTTTTGATTTTTTTGGCCCTGAAACCCTATAGAAAAATCTGGAAAGCGACATGCTTTGCTGCTTCCTCCGAATTCCAATGCATTCAGACCATGGATGTGCGGATCGTCGGATCGTCCTGATGTTGTTGTGCCATCTGTGGCTTCAACAACGTCACCAAGGAACGCACCTGGCGGCAAAAACCATAGCACATCATGATTTTTGGAAATTTGGGGGTGATTTCTGAAATTCTGAGAATGTCATATATATAGATATCATTTGAGTCAAGCAGAGTGGCAATTTTCTGAGGCCCGCGCTCGAGCACCCCAGCTAAATCCATAGATTCCAGCGGCTCGAGCTGCTCCGAACTGTGCAGGTTGACCTTGACATTTTGATATCTAGGCTGTTCTAAGGGAAATATGGGGAACTAATAATGAATTGTAATGAAAGATAATGAAAGTACAATTTCTAAGGAAGATGGAATAAGTAATGCCATGAAGAGTGTAGATTGCAAACTTGTCGGCTCTCTCCTAATCTGGAGATCATGACTGAGTTGTGACGGTGCCAGCCACCTGTCATTGAAATCCCGGCGCTGATATCAATGCATTGCATTGGACTTCAATGGCTCAAGTGGCATGCCAGCAGGACCAGTTGACTCCCTTGGGGAATTGCACCTTGGTGTGCCAAAGCCCAAATGATTCTGCTGCAGGCTCAAGGGAGTTCCATGCATGTGTGCGTGGATGGTTGTTTGCTTCATTACCCATGCGATGACTTTACCATTGATGCAAGAACATGAGCATCTATTCAATGTATTTATATCCTGCATGTCTGGTAAATGCGTTCTATATATTCCATCACTGAAATCTGTGTGATAAATTGTGATACTGTATCTACTAGTTTGATCATGTGTGATCTAGTTTGAGAGTTGCGGAGACTTGCCATGTGTCTCCTGTGTTTCCACCTCAGCTGTAGCTATGGTATGCTATGGTGCCCCTACCAGGAGTCGCAGGTCCACTTCTCCACCATGTCGACGCTCTACCTCACCGCATCTCACAGCCAAGCAACTAAGCAATCTGCAGCTCTACAACTGGTGAAGAGTCAGAGTAAAGCTTGCTTTAAGAGTTTGAAACTAAAGGAAAACATACGCAGAAAGGAGAAGAGGATACAAGAACTCAATGTCCACATGCAGCCAAATCTGAGTAAGATATCAGATTTTTGCGTCGCGTCCAGGATCTCGGATCACTGAGCTCTCAACTGCTCCAACGATGTTGCCTTCTTGTCCGAGCTCCATCATCAACCTGGCAAATCGATTTCCGATTACAGCATATTGCAGCCACATCCGTACGACTGGATCGACTGAGGATCGACTGAACCGTTGGATACTGCTGGTCAAAGCAACTTTCGTTGGGAGCCCCATGTTTTCTAAAATGCAAACGAAACGGTGGCATAAGCAGCAATTGAGAACGCATCTCATTTTAGGCAAGGGTTGGCTGTGTTCCCTACCCTTTGGTCCTCTCCAAATCGTAAAAACTCGCCAGTGTCGACGACTGACTCTGGGATTCACGCGAAATCAGAGTCACCTGCCACTGCTACTCACGATGTAAAAGAGCTTGATGGAAGGCTTGCTATCGGCCCAGTGATCCAACACGCTGAAACCAATGGATCTTGACAAGTTTGAAAAGTTCAACCATTTGAAACTCATCTGATCATTTCAACCCATCAGAAACCATCCAATTGGCGGCACCGGGCAAGACATGCCAGATTGACAGCTCGTTCTCCCACGGTGAAGCCGCCGGGCAACGTTCGCTGCGGCAAGGGTGGCACCTGATACAGACAGTGCTACCATGAAGGCAGCAGTCTGGCCGATCTCAAAAAGAAGTCTAGGGATGTCTACAGAGGGTGGTGAAGATTGGCCAAATTGGTGAAGGGCAGAGCACATATGGCGACAATATGAAGACATTGCTAGGACAATTCTCGAAAAAACGAGTAATCTTGTCATATCTTGTCATTTTTATACTGTCATTCTGTATCATTCTGTCATTCTTCTCCAAATTTCTCGTTACAGGTTTTCGCCTTCTGGGATTCTGCATCGCTCTCTGCGGGCTTCTCCAAGGCCTCAGGGAAACAAGAAACGATAAGGAACCATGATAGACTCGGGCCATCACAATGAAGCACAGATTCTGTGCCGCGTGCTGCTGCAGACTTCTTTGAAGTAAGCGTCTTGGGTGAGACAGGCTCCTCAGATTGGCGTCAAGTTTTTTCTCCAGATTGGTCAAGTCATGTCAAGTCCTCTCACAAGGTGTATTTTTGGGTGTCTTTCAACTTTCAACCTATATAAATTTCTTCAACATATCTCGGATTGTCTAAGGTATTCTAAGGTGTCTTCGGCTGTGGGTTCTGTGCCGATACCTGAGCCGTTCGCTGTACTGTCCAGCTTCGTTTCTGCAAAGCCCTGGCTGTGGACTCGATGGGCTGAACATGAACGTCACACGATGTCTCTATGCCCATGTAGTGCGCAAGAAATAGAGACAACTTGAGACAACCATGATATAGAATGATGTAGCCATGTAGTTTATGTAGATTGATCCCGTGTGTATATATATATATGCATGACTACAATTGATTACAATTGGATACATTTAGAATTATATCTTACGATAGACGCATTGGCCAGTGTAGAAAGAATGTAAGCCATGGCATGGAAGAGCACCATTCTTGCAAATCTTGCAATTGGCGTCACGCTGTTTTGCTCCCGAACTGCAAAAGCTCGCGACGTGGTGACGTGGTGTTGCTTCCAACACGAAGATCAGCAAAACTAGTGGTGTTCCACGGTGCTCCGTTGTTTCAGTGCGCTTTCACTGAAAAAGGAACCCTTTCAGAGGCCAAAATACCGTGCAGGTCCGTCAGGATGCTGCTGACAAGGTGCCTTGCCTAGATGTGCCTAGGCTTTGTTCAGGAAAAGTAGGCTGCAATGGCCAAGGCCAAAACCACAACTGCAGGCACAAAGGCACCAATTCCACCTGCTCCTCCCGCTTTCGCTGCCTCAGGTCTCACAACATCCCCAACTAACCCCAACCAATCCAACCACTTGTGAACATCCCAGACATCTGGTCACTATCAACTTGGAAAGATCAGGACATTAATCAGTCTTGGTTTAAAATGTGCATCAGTTTGCCAAAAAGCACTTTTCCCAACCACATCCTGTTGTAAAATGTCAAACATGCCACCATGTATGCGTTTCCACAGGCCTCTGAATGCTTTGGAACGCGTTTTGTCTTAAGCTCTGCCTCTTCTTCCGCCGCACCCTCCATGTAGCCAATCACCAGCCTGGGGTCCAAATCTCATGGCCCACTTTCTCTGTGGAACTGATATGAACCGGTTGGATCCAGTAGCCATCATCGAAATGCTACAGCTACATTCGAAAATATTCCGAAAATATTCGAAAAGAATGGAGACACTCCATTGGTCAAGGCACTTGTTGGCCCATTCACGGGCGCTGTCGCTGTGAGAAATGTCCTCGAAATCTTGAGTCCCATCCTGACGGCCCATCACAAAAAGCAGCAAAATTTGATCAACTCGTCAGTACTTTAACCGATTATCTAACAATTATTTATCTTTTCTAGCTATCATGACTATAGTCAAATGAATAGATAATAAAATGGACAACTATATATGTATATATATATGCATACCGACATTATAATATCGTTCAATCGTTCTGATTCCCATTATCATCCGCATCATATAGTCTACACGGATCGCCTTTCCGGCTAATGCTGTGACCACATCGGGGCCACCCGGGTGCTCATCAAGAAACTCCTGGCAGAAAAAAAATTGGAAGCATTTGGAATCCACTATTTAAAAGACAGTCCCAAGACCCAAGATGCAGAAAACAGAAGCCACACAGTTCCTTTAAACACTGCCATAATGTACTGCCATGATCCTATGGCATCATGATGGCATCATGATGGCATCATGATCATATGATCATCGATGCTCGACTCCTTGTTCAGGTCAAGGACAAGGCCATGGATAGCCATCCACGCGTCTTCATCGGTGTTGTGCTTGGCCAACTCGTCCTGGGAATTGTCAGAAAGAAATGGTCAAGTCGTGGATGTCGTGGTGTGCCATGTTGTGGAAGGATGTGGGATGACACTATGCACCAAAAACATCCAAAAACATCCAAAATCTCGATAAATGAGCGGATTATAGCATATAAAAGTATATAAATACTTAGCATATCTTAGCATTACTTAGTAATGATTCATGAGTGGATTCTTGGTCCAAGTTATCCAAGTTTCTGCCGTGATCTTGCGTCTTGGCTTCGTGTCGGCCATGATGCAGGACTCGTCTAACCCGTCTCGTCTGACTTCGACCACTCGCGATGCGCTGAGCTGAAAATGCTGAGATATGAGGCCATGGCATGTGGATTTCACTCAGCTACCAGCAGCATACAAGCAGCTTAAAAGGATTTAAAAGGGTCATCTGATGGTAATCTATTTTAATCTGATGTCATCTGCCATCGTGAACCTGATGAACCTGTTCAAATGAAGGAACTGCAAAACCAGGAGGTTGCCAAAGCGTGTTGGGTTGACCTGTCTAAGACTAGATTCTGCTGCTTTCCTCGGATAGCCAGTCCAAAAGAGGGATTCTGGAAAGAATTCGGACTCAGCAGCGTTTTTCGAGGCATGGCATGTAAAAAACGACTGGACCATTTGTAGCATATGTCCTCGCACAACACCACAGGTGTCCTCTTTGCCACTTATCTTTCCAATTTCTTCGGCACCCGACCCCCACAGATTTGGAAAATGTGCACCAGTCCAAGCTAAGCGGTGCATAGGACTCTGGGCCCTCTGAGGGTGCTACGGTTTGCCACCAAAGTTGGCGGTGCTGGCGCGAGTGAGCTTCGCACGTCTAGCAGGCCTTAGAGACACCAGCCACATCTATATCGTTTAATTATTACATTTAATTTATGATTTTTTATTATCTTAAGAGATCTAAATCGGACAATATTCTGAAGTACTGCAATCAAACAGTCAAGCACTGACTGGGCGCAATCGAATGGGCACTCTGACGAGCCCTCCTCTGCACTATCATCACGCGCGCGCAAGCCTGGGCAGTTCTCACAAGCCCAACGTTGATCAAAAAGTGCCAAATGAATCCAAATGACAGTGCAAGCAGTGCAAGCAGTGCAAGTCCAAACAAAGAGAAACGATGCAACACGGAACGAAGTCACATGCTCACATGTGCTCACACGTTCAATCTTCCTGGTGGCTTGCAAAAGGGTGCCAAAACTACAGCCTCCGTTCCTGGCGACACCTGAATTTCCAACATGCCATGGCTTCAACATGCTTCAACTGGGGCTTCAGCTGGTGTCACCTGGGCATTGTTGACCGAACGCCGTGTATTATCCAAAATGCATCAAAATGCCCCGACAGGGCATATGCACAAGATTGTACAAGACACGGCTGTCTGGTTGTCGCGTATTTTCACAGAAAAACCATCTTGTTGCTAATTACTGATATTGTACTTGGCCAACAGGCCAGCGTAGCAAGATCACACATTTCAATTTCCAAGCATTTTTCCCGCTACTCCCTTAGTATATTTAGCAATATGTAGCAATGAAGTACGATGAAGTAATTACTATGAATTGCTCGCAAGGCATGCCATTGGGCTAAGGTTCATAAGGTTCCAGGGTTCTGGCCTGTGTCCTGGTTGTTGGTCTTACACCTGCCGCGCCTGTGCGAGCAGGTGAAACATTCCATGAGATCATCCCCTGCTGTGCCCAATTTGCACTTGGAGCTCCAGCAAGACATAGCAAAACCCAACCAACGTGTCATGGTCATTATCGTTCACCAAAGCTTCCCAGAGAAGATTTCTAAATAGATTTCTAAATATATCTAAATATAAATCATTGCGCATTTCGATCCTCAGGGTCCAAATGCCTCGGAAAAAAAGAGTTCAATCTTCCCTGCTTAGAAGATCTTAGAAGATCTTAGAACGCTTAGAAGATCTTAGAAGGTAAGAGCAACTTTGTGTCCGTTTGTGTCGCCATGTGCCGCCTGCGAGCTCTTGAGGCACTACCGCCTTTATCGCTATCGTTGTCAGAACCAGCTGAGCTCATCCTGCTCCTGCGGAGGGCGTTGTGGGCACCTCGTGCAACCTGGGTGACTCCTATGGAGCCCTGAAGCTCTCGGGGCAGAGCCAAAGTCCTGCGAAAGTCCTGCCCTGTCCCTGTCCATCCTGTCCTGTCTACGATGCCACTACCTTGTCGCTTGAAGACGGGCTGTGGCTTCAGCCTCGATTTTGACACCGTCACCGTCCGGCACAGTCCAGGGTCTCATATGATTCATATATGTGTCTCATGTTGGTCAGATTTCACAAGCTTGCAGCAGCTTGCAATGCCACAGAAAGAAGAGAGGACCATGAGGACCCTCGACAAATCTCGACAATAAAATTGAATGAAATTCTTGTTCTTGATGTTCTTTGGAACATTTTGGAACCAAGAAAAGGCCCTGGAGCAAAACCTGACAGAGGCTTCACGGCTTCACCAGAGTTTCACCAAGATCCATGCGTTTGAGCTGCAGTGAGCCTAAGAATTCGACATGGAATGGCAAAATGGCAAATTGTTTGACTTTGTTTCTCTGGTTGAAACCTGTATTCAATTGTTGGCGCTAATCCAATCTGAAATCCAGCCTGACGCCATAAAACAACCCATCAATACATGGCGCAATGGTTGTGACGATCTATCAAGAGAATGCAAAGGTGAGAAAAAGGGGCACAGTAAAAGAAGGCGAAGACCAAAATGAGGTCGCATCACGACAGGACAGCATGACAGCAAGACTCTGCCCAATCCCCGCCTCTTCTGTTTCTGTCGCGCTCCGAAGGCTAGACCTGAACCAGCACTGCCATATCTGACATGCACTGCCATGCCCTGCATGAAAAAAATGCCTAAATTGTGCATACCCTGCCGGGATGTCGTCACAAAATGTCACAAACACCTGTCGATTTCACGGCCCCTTGTGAAGAGCTTCAGGTGTCGGTATCACCGGTATCAGTTGTGAGCAGCTATGATGCACTCAGAGATGTCAGTGATTGAACTTTGGTCGTTTAGGAAACAGCTGTTTGTAGGAACTGAAACCGGCTTAGGAGCACTTTAGCCGTGTGCTAGCGGCAATCTGCATCCGACCTGCGAACATGATTCGGCTGATCTGATTGACTTTTGTCTTTGTTGAAAGCAAGTCTTGCGCTGGGTGGCGTTAAGCATTCCAAAGTGCATTCGTCACAAGCTACCCAGCGGGCCATCTTGTGAGGCAGAAAATTGGCTAGTTTCAAACACTCCAGCCATGCGCTTCGCGCATGTAGGATCTGCAGACAAATCAGGTAATCAGAGGTTGTCACAGTCGTATTTCTTCCATCTCACTGGTCACATCGCAATGTCATTCATCGAAAACGTCGCGGCTGTCGTGGCTGTGGCTCCTGAACTTCATGGCAACAAACCCATCAACACAGCAGTACATTCGACAAAAGATGGGGCCAACATGGGCCAACTGGCCCTCAGCAGCAATGGATCC